CACACTATTCTCGGGACCCTAACATTTTTGGCTAAAGTATTTATTGCAGCTGAACCTCAGTTCTAACACTTCAACAGCACCCACCTACTGCCGCATACCTCTACACCCATGCTACCGTGATTCTGCAGCAATACTGTGTCTCATCTGGAACGCAACCTCCACCTGGCCACCCAGGGTCCTGTTAAAACTGAGCTGTCAGTCTTATGACCCTTTATGCTGGGCCCTACTCTCTGTATACCCACCAGTACTGCCTCCAGTGGATGGAGTATTGAAGACTTCCTGGAGCTGCTGCTTTTGCATCCTAGGCTCTGCCTTCACTACCACTCACCACCTCTTCCTTTTGATCCACCTTCAGGGGCATATTCAGAGCTCAGTACAGTTAGAGTGAAGTGTGTCCCAAGGACAAATAAGGCTGTGGCTGAGATCCTGCCAGTGAACCCCTCCTTTGAAGCAAAATGTCAACAGTGACCCCCAAAGCATGTAAATTTTAGGGCACAGAAAACTGAGGAGATACATGTGGGAATTTTTTTTTCTTCTCCTTGGTGGTGGGACCTTCACTGAACTGTGCCAAAGTAGACAAGATTAGGTGGCAGAGAATATGAACTGTGAAACAATTTCCTACAGTGAAGAAAGGCATGGATCAGGGACAAAATATCATTAATGACAGGTCACAAGAGAAACTGTAAGGCTGTTTGGGATTTGCTACCCATTCCCCAACCACGTGTCCACAGGGCTGTCCATGTAGCACAGCACAGCCTCCATTTTTATTTATTTATTTTTTTTTTTTGTACAGGCTCACTACACAGCTCGGACTCATAGTGATCCATTTCAAGCCTCCCCAATGCTAGGATTACAGGCATGTACTACCATGCCTGGTCTTGGGTGCACCCGGGCCAGGGCTGGGTGGCATGCAGTACAGGGATTGAACCTGGGTATTTAAGCTTGCCAGGCAGGCACTTACGACTGCTGAACTATCTCCATATCCCACAGCCTCCATTCTGAGCAAAACATGTTCTTAGAGTTGCGATCTTATGTTTTTTTTGTTTGTTTTAATGTCCTTGGTTGTTGCAGGGTATCATTATGCAGGCTTGGACTTGTGGTGATCCTCCTGCTTTCAGTCTCCCTAGCACTGGGAGGCCTGGACTCCCTAGCACCACTATGCCCAGACTCTGGCCAGCTCAGCCTGCCCTGAGGGTGGGGCTGGTGTGGCATGTGGTGCTGGGAATCAAACCGAAGTCCCTGAGCTTGACTAAGCTTACCTAAGTAGGTGCTTTAGTCCGCTAAGCTAGCTCGCTGGCCCCCTTAAAAGATTCTGTACTTACAATGGAAGCTAACATAAGTTCATGACCCAGCAAGTATGCAACAAGAAACAGTGAGCTCTAAGAAGTGAGAAAAAGAAAAGCCAAGGAAGAGAAGGTGAACTGTAGGCCAGTGCTTCCCAGGAATAGTATGAGGGTCTATGGCACTTCAGCTCCAAAAGGCAGATTTATAACTAGAAGTTTATTAAACTTGTAAGTCACTGCATAAACAGTGAAATTTCAAAGGGATTCAAGCCAAGTGAATCTCACTAGATCTGAAAAGGCAACAGTAACTTCCTGAGAGAAAGAATCTGTCCTGTATTACATTGAGCTTAAAACCATGTCTAAAACTCAAAACCATGGTCTGCTTCCCTAGGGTGAGGGGCTCTGGTTACTTCCTTGATTGGCTTAGGTCAAAAGATTTTTAACAATGGACAAAATGACAATGAAATGCAACTTGATACCCACAAGGATAGGTATAAGCAAGAAGATGAAGAATAACAAGAGTCAGCGAGAATGTGGAGAAACAGATGTGCATTACTGACGGGGATGTGAAATAGTATGGCTGATGTGGAAAACACTCCAGCAATTCCTCAGAAAAATTGCATCACAATGCGGTCCAGTTAGTTCACTCATTGGTATATTCACAAATGAAAACATCTGCCCCCACAAAAACTAGTACATGTTCACAAGCAACATTATTCATAATGGCTCCAAAGTAAAAATAATCCCACTATCCATTAACAAATGCTTACACAAGTATGATATACCCAGTCAACAGATTGGCCATTAAAAGGTAATGATTGAGATATAGATACGTGCTGTAATATCAATCTTGAAAACATTATGCTAAGTGAAAAAAGCCAGCATAAGTAAATCTTTAGAGACAGACAAAAGACAAGGGTTTGCCTGGGTCTGGGAGATGGGACATGCAGGTGATTGCTAATGAGATCAGGGTTTCTTAGGGGGTGGTAAAAATGTCCAGGAATTAGATATGGTGATGGGTGCACAACACTGAACAAATATATTACCACCCACTGAGTTGTATACTTTGAACTGGATGGGTGTGTAAATTCAATAAAACTTTTTTAAAAAGACAGTTTTATTAAGATTCTAATTTTTTGGGGGGGGAGGTTGGGAGATCCTATAGGACACACATTTGGAACATTCCCACGTGTTGATTATGGCTGGAAGAGAAACAACCTAAACTAAAACAAGCACCAACAGCTTTACTAGGGTCCTCAAGGTCCTGTTCAACACTTCCCACCTCCTCTACACATCAAGTCTAGGACACTGCCTCAGGGTCCTTGATGCAGAGACACCAGTAATGGCTGATGCTGTAGATGAATCACTGAATTTTCAGTTTTCAGAAAAATGAATTATGTACATCAGGTGATCAAAATATAAACTTTTTTTAAAATTTCAGTAAAACACGCTGTCACTAATCCCCTTCAAAATACGCCCCCCCCCCATTTGAAAACACATCCCATGGTTCTTGCCACACTCTGAAGCAGCTCTGTAAGTCCTCTATTGTGTGTGGCTTTATGAGGTATGATTAAAAGCACATGGTGAATGGTGCTGCTAAGTGCCATCTAATAGAAAGGTAATCTAAGAGGTAAGGTAAGAGGGTGTGTCCTCTTTATCCATTTTAGTCACCACCTTCTGGCACTGTGTGACTTCTGGCTCTTTACCAAAGTTAAAATGACCATAAAAGGTAAAAGCTTTGAATTGATTCAGGACATAAAAGACATTGACTTATACAAAAGAACTTCCACAATTGCCTCAGAAAGTGTAAGAATGATGAGATAAATGTATTTGAAGCAAAGAGTATTTTAAAGTTCATTTGAAAAAGTAAAAGTGAAGAGAGAGAAGCAAGATAAAGAAATGCTCTGGAGAAAGCAGGGCAGGCTACTGTGAAGAGAATCATGACAGCAAGTTCTTCTTGGCATGTCTGCTCTTTTACACTGTTGAAATCTTGAGGAAACTTCTTGAGAAAGCTCTTGAGAACTTCTACATATGGGTTCTGAGAAGTGGTGCTGGGATCGAATGCCTCAGAATGACAAGTCTGGTCAATCTATTGAAAGCCTTCTTGAGCTCTCATGAGAACTCTACATGCTTTGGGAACTGTTCTGTGGACATGTTCCAGTATTTTGTAACGTAACAGGTCACGCCTACTTCCCTACCCAGTTTTGCCATGCCCTAGTCTCCTATCTCATTCTTTCCTGAAACACAAATCCCCTTAATTTTTCAAGAGTATTTTAGGGGTTTTAATGATAATGTATTTTACTGTAAATTTTTTTCTAAGAGCATTCGTTTTCAATCATATCATGTACAATACTGTCTTTTTCTTTGCTACTAGACAATCTAAATGGTAAATTTATTGTTTAATTTTCTTTTTCTTGAGTCAAGACTCCCAAAAGTTACATAGCTTTCCTGTATTTATCTGATGTTTAGTCTATGTTCCATTAAATGCTTAAAAAAGTTTTCATGAGCAAATTATCCAGACCCTTTTGGTTACAGGTTGATCCAATTTCAAAACTGAAACCAACTTTCTCCCCCTGCTATCCTTTGAGGGAGCAGGCTATAAGTAATGATAGCACTTGCATTTCCCATTCGTATACCCATTTTCTGGGTCTTTCTCCAGAAAGGCTTCAAGGTGGCTAGCCACATTTCTGGAGTCAGTTACTGCATTACTGCCTGAGAAGGGGACTGCTAGGGAATGTGCCCAGCTAGTCTGACCATCCAGCCCCAGCGCCACCTGAGCTTGGCTCTGCTGGGCAGACAGGCAGCCCTCAGTTACAGAAACTGACCTAGCAGATGATCTCAGAATGGCTATGGCAGCCTACTGCTGCCTATTGGCAAATGCCAAGTCTTAATTTAGGGAAAGGAATCCAGGGAGCAGTAAAGGACTCATACATTGTTGAAATGTGGGCTGCCAATTGCTTCAATCTTATGTCTCCGGGCCTGGCAATCTCTCTCACTGCAGCCCAGGGGCTCAACATGCTCATATTTGATAGACTCAGGCTGCAAAGAACCTGGAGAATGCCAAAGGCCAGAGGATTGTGAACATAAGATACATCTGCAAAATGCTGGGCCCAATCCTTCTGAAGTTCAACACCACCCCAAAGATGGTGCCTGTGCTCTTGGCCAGGCCAGAGTAGGGACAAGAAACACGGTTACACTTACCTGCTCTGTAGGTTAAGTGCTACGTATTTATACTCTTTTCCTCTTCCATGGAAAGATATCCAAGTACTTTACAGCAGGAAAGGCACCTCGCATTTTCCATGATTTTCTTAGGTTGCTCAGCAAGTTCTGAGGCAAAATACAGCAGCCTCCAGGTCTGCCCTGTTTATTCCTCTGCTTGTAGGCCACTGCTGCCCAGTCACAGATGGTCACAGAGCACAATACAGATGGTGCAGAACAGGAGCAATGCAGGTATTTTGCCCTCACTAGAATACTATAGCTAGTATACCTGTCCTAATGAAAGTTACTGTGTGGCCTATGGCATTTCCATTCATGCATTTCCATCTACACAACATGACCAGGGCCCATTTTAGTAATGTCAGGAGCAACAGCAGCTCAAGAAAGGAGGGTCTGAGAAACAAGAATGGCCCTGAATAGGAAAGACTAATTTAGCCCAACAGAGACTCAACGTTGAAGTTTCTTAACTGGAAAGAGCTATTAATAAAAGAAGGCAAGTGGGAAACCGGCAACATGAATTTTGTATTGACATTTAGTTCTTAATAATACATCCAAAATGCGTTCTGTTCTTACAGCACTGCAACTCAGGCTGTACTAGGTAGAGGGTGTGCATTGCCGGAGTCTCCCGTGAGAAAAGGGAGGAGCTGGTGGTAAGACACACACCGACTTCTCTTTGTGATCTATGTGGAGAGGTGCAGCCAGGTGGAGAGGTGCAGCAGGTAACTTGCCTTGGAGAAGGGGTGAGGAGGCAATCCCAGCTGGCCTGCAAACACATGGGCAGAGTCCCTTGCCCCAAGCCTACAAGAACACGGCTGATGGTGAGGTTAATGGGGGCAGCTACAGGGGAGTAGAGGAGAGGCTGGGATGTTACATTCTTGAGGTCTTCACAGGTACATGTCATCAAAGCCCGGTGGAGGGAGATGATCTGGGTTGGGTCTGGAATGAAAAAAGGGGCTGGTGAGCTGGAGTGATGGAAGGCAAGCCTCATAGGCAGACGTGGCTCTGGATGAGGGAGCCTATCCTCCAGAATGGCATGGAGTACTGCACTTGTGTGGCTTATGGCCACTTACTGTAGAGCCAGAATGCCTATGTTTAAATCCTGACTTTCACACTTTGGCTACCGTATGCCTGAGTTGGCGGGGGCACTCAATTTTCACATCTGCAAGATGTGGACAGTACCATCTACCCAAGACTAACGCAGATGCAGTGGGTTTCTGACACACTCTTAACTCTGTGCTAGTTCCTCCTCCTCTGAGTCCTCCTTACAGGGGGAGTCAGGGAGGGAGAAATGGAGGGATAGGGAGCTTCTGGAAGGCTCCAGCCAGTAGGCAGGGCCCAGGGGAGGCTCCTTTCTCTAAGCAGTCACAGGTGGTGGCAGTGGCAACTCTGCACTGGGTATCAGACACCTTTGCTATTGCAATGCCAAGGTGAGCTAAGCTGTTATCAAGTCCCACTTCTCAGCCACTTGAGGGGATACCTACCCAGAGGGGCTCGTCCCGATGGGTCCAAAGGGGTCAAAGCGAGCTCCTGGAGGAACTGCACCTGGAGGAAGCCGGTTTGGAAGACCTGAGGATGGGTCAATAAGTGCTCTTGGGAAGCCAGATCTCAGGGGGTCCACAATCATGCCACCTCTCTGGAACCTGAAGCAAGAAAGAAGATGGATAAGCAGCTATGGTAGGGACTGCCCTTGAAGAAATGTTGAGCAAGATGGAAAAGGACTAATAATGACCATGTCTACTCTGGATGGTCCGACAGACAGACAGCGGAAAGTGAGCAAGAACAACAGCATGCAAAGAACACCTCACTGGTGAGGGGCACATGCTCTGGGTTCTGTAGGGCTACCCACATTTGCAAAATTGACTTCTCTGCCACATGCTACATGCAAGGGATGAAAAGTAAAGATGTTTTACAGTGGTCTGTGGTACAGATAGACAAATGACTATAGTATAACAACAATTATGTGGAACAGAGGCTAAAAACTTAAAAAATTCCAATTCTGATCAAGAATAGGAGGTAGAATTGGCCAGAATCAATGTAAACTGTCACAGGCTCTGGCTCTGTGGGACATTAAGGACTAAGGACTAACAATAGCATGGCAACAATTAAGCAGGCTAGTTCTTCCACTGTCCCCATGACCACAGGACAGTTTCCCACTGTCTGTGGGATGTCCAAGTTGAGCTCCTGATGGCATCTGTCCCTCACAGAATTCTACAACCTCATGTACTCAAACCAGGATGAATAACTGATACTTTCCTAAATTGTGAGGCCATTATTTGAGCTGCAGTGCAAACACATTATTTCTCCACTAAAAATGAGATAATAAATATTGGGGTCACTTTTTTTCCCAGGTTAAAACAAGTTTAAATCTGTGATCAGAGAGCATAGCTATTGCGGTGGAGTAACTACTAGGTACATGTCAGGTGTCACAGGGACTAATGGGTCTCTGAGAATCTTAAGTCAAGTGAGGTAACACTTGGGTCACCTTAAGTCTGTCATTCAACCCTGTGTGTTCTTTAACCTGCACACCTGTAAATCCTTGTACATATTCTCCTATTCCAAGAGAGACTGCCTTCCTTGATCAGCTGTAGAGTACAGAGAAATAATACCAGAGCCTCCTGCAGGACGTGCCCAGTCCCCTCAGTACACAGCACCCTCCTGCGCTGCTCTGTTATGGCAGAACACAGAAAGTGCAGTGACTTCCCAGCTGCTCAGCAACACCTGCCTCCTCCACCTCTAAGGAAAAGACTGATGAAAGCTCTAAAATTAGAAGATAAGCTAAGGTTGAAAGCCAGAGTAAACTATGCTCCTGCCATTTCTCGAGCAATACTCACCCAAAGGGGTCTAGATCTTCTCCCCCGACAGCAAAAGGGCCCAAGGGATCAGACCTGAAACAAACAAGGGACAATTACTGCAAGTCCCGGAGCAGCTGGGCATCCAGGTTCCTGGGGGGCAAACCTGATGCCCTGGGAGTCACAAATGTACTCCTGAACAAGGGGACATGGGAGACACCTGCATAAGAACACAACACAAAGGATGTTTCAAGATGGTTCTTGGTACAGATTGACACTGGCCATATTACAATGGCAATTACGTGGAACAAAAGCTAAAATCACGGAGAATCCCACTTCTATAACAAAGTAAAAAAGATCAAAAGAGTGGTAACCTTCAGATAAATTTTCTATTCTATTTACACCTTCTTCACGTTCTGAAACTGAGTAAGAGGAATTTTTACACCAGAAAAATATTACTCTAAAATCAAAACCAAAATTACAAAGCTAAGATTTTAAAGCCTCCCAGTAGACTAAGATAGAGGAATGAAGTCATGTGCACGGTGTTCTCAGCTTCTTATAGTGCTCGCTTGAGCTTTAGGACCACTGTACACTGTGTATTTCTTTATTCACGCTAGCCTGCTGAAGCGCTATAGGCCACACATCTCTTAAGATTCTTTTCAAAGAAACTGATATTTTTTTCTTTACCGAGAAAGCCTTCAGTAGAATAAATGCTTGTCTGGCAAGCGCAAGGTCCTGAGTTCAATCCCTGGTTCCAGAAAAAAAAGAAAGCCTGAGCAAAAATGAGCATGCATGAATGTTTGCTTTCTAACAAAAAAATTGTATATTCTAAGGTATAAGACATAATATATTGTTCAAAAACCCTATACACTTTCATATTCTGACCAATAACTTTATGCATAGCTATCTTCAAAGAACATAGAAATCAAATTAATACCACAGAGACTTCTATGGGGAAACTGGAATCTGCCCCAAGGGAGAGACCAGATAGATACATCATGGTATAAACCTATGTACAGCCATAAAACAACAGAAACAATGGTATAAGTATGCTTTAAAAACACATGTGGAAACTGTCATGCTCTACTGTTAATGTGGGAGAAGGATTGCTAGTAGCCTAGGGAAATCAACTATAAAAGTGTGGGTATATATTAGGGGTGGGGGGCATGTATATATGAATAAAATGACAGAAAAAATACTGTAAGCATAAACACTGATAATCACTCCTTGAGTTTTCTTTTTATACTTTCCATAAAGGATATGGAATAAAATAAGATTTTGTGGTTTTAAAATTTTTTTTATTTATTTATTTATTTATTTATATTTGCTACAGGGTCTCACAATGCAGCTCAGACTTGTATTGATCTTCCTGTCTCAGCCTCCCTAGTGGAGGGATTACAGGTGTGTGCCACCATACCCTGGGTTCCAAGGCCGGCACAGCATGTGGTACTGGGGATTGAACCCTCATGCTTGCTCTTGTCAGGAAGGTGCTTAGACCACTGAGCTATCTCCCCATTCCAGGATTTTGTATTTTAAAATGTGTGCTTTAGAATCTGCTTGGAGCCCTGGCAAACAACACAAACGTGACAGCTCTGGGACACAGGCAGGCTTCTGCCAGACTAGGAAAAGCCTCAAACACAGCAAGTAATCGGAGCGCTTACTGGTAAGAAGCCATTAATTAGAGAACTGGGAAGAAATCCAAAAGTAAGCCGTTCTCCAGACAGTTACACCAAAAGGCTGGAAAAGATACTGGAATTGATGTGGACAAGGCCACGATGCCATGCCAAGGGAAGGAAATATTTTTCTGACCTAGGGAACCATCCCTTAGTCACAGTTCATGGAGCCAGGAGTCACTGCCCCTAGAGGCTGCCAATAATATCTGGCCTCTGGAGACTGGTCAGGTGGTACTTGAGGGCAGTAAGCATTTTACCTAACTCCATGAAGTGCCCCTGGCAGAGCAGCAAACACAGCTTCTACTGGCTGTTAAAATACCTGGGAGTGAAAAGCCTGACTTCCTGAAATGTGCAGTCATTTCTGTTTTTCTCTTTGGATGCCAGCCTATATGGGGAAGGGAGAAAAAATAGAACAAGAAGGATAGAAAGGCAGCTACAAGGCGCACTCCAACAATTTGTATACTTGAAGTTGTCACAGCACATTCTGTAGGCTCTCAACCACAGGTTCACTGCAACACAAACACTCCTCCAAACTCACTATGCACATGCTTAGAACCCATTTAAAACAGCTGGCCAAGTATCAGTCTTAAATGTACTGAATGAGGGCTCTGGGGATTGAAAAAACCATTTATATTCAAGGACCTTCAACTTTAGTCCCACTCCCCATTGTCCGGTAATCAACTGAAGAAAAGAGGACTCCATTTTAAACCTGGAAGACTGAAAGACTGGGCCTCCTGGGGCAGGATGTCCCTGTTGCAAAAGTGGTCTCACTAAAGGACTAGAAGGTGGCCTCGACCACACAGTGCTCCCTCCTGATGCATGCAGCTTTTGTCTTACATAAAATAACACCTAGGCACAGAAATTCACTATTACTGATAATGTAATAGTGGAGGTGGCCAGGCAAATTGGAAAGGTCTCAAGACTGGGAGACAGAAGGTATGCTCTAGCTCTGGGTCTGGGATTATCTAGCTGGAGGGCATGGACCTGTCATAAAATCTCTATTTCAGGGGCTTTTTTTTTTTTTTTTTGCAGAACCAGGGCTTGAACTCAGGCCCTTGTGCTTGCCAGGGAAGCACTTATTCCACTGAACCATCTCCCCGGCCCCTTTCAGAGTCTTTTAAAGATATAAAATCTAACAGTAGTACTCACAGGGGCTGCCAAGATGGTGACCCACAGTTTTGGACAGAAAAAGATTACCTGACAGGAAATGCCTGAAAGAATGGAAAAACAACAGCTACCACCATTTACCAAGATGTTGCTTTATATCAGACATGTCAAATTTTATTTTAAATTAATTTTTAAAAGATTTTTAAAATGCAATTTTCGGACGGTAATCCATTTCTGTTTCAAGTTTCATGAGTAAAAGATGATACATTAAGTCCTTTTGGACTTGTGGTCCAAAAGGTCCAAAGCCCTTTTGGTATGTTTTGGAATTCAGAAGTTTTCATTACCTTTCCAAATATGATGGGTACATTAATGTATTTTAACACTTCCAAGCAACACCCTGCTACAATCAATACCAAAATATTTCTGCAAGATGCATAAATATTCACACTCCTAGGATAGCTCAAGATACAGAGCTTCCTGTGACTTCAGGTTAGGTCTGCCACCTTAAACTCACCACAACATTGAGCACCAGTCTTACGAAACATTACGTTTTCAGAGCTCTTTTGATTTTGGAATTATAGATTCCAAAGTGGAATTTGGAATTATAGATTCCAACCGAGTAAGTTTCATTATCTTCTCTATTTTAAAGATGAGGATAGCAGGGCTCACAGAGGCCCTAGGTATCTGTAAATAGCAGACAAGAGTTATGCCAGACACCACCAACTCCAAAATTCATCCATATTCTTTTACATGGATGTGTTGAGGCTAGTCACCTTTAATGTGATTTTTATTATGTTTATATTTACCATCATTAGTTTGCCAATGACTTCTACTTTTTGTTCCTGTTTCTATTATTCAATTTTAATTTAATGTGGGGTTTTTTTCTATTTGTTTTTAAAGATTTTGTAATGGTTGCTGAAGAGATTTAAATTACATAACGTTCAGTCTCTTTAGAAGTAACATTTTACTTTTTCAAGAAAGCCTTCCCAGCATACATAGATTGCTCAACTCTTCCCTTTTGTAATTACAGCTGGCACAACCTGTACTGTGCTGAGAATCCTATGATACATTCTCATAGCTTTTGCTTTTAACAATAAAACGTATTTTAGAAAACTCAAGAGTTTTCTAAAGTCAACTCTATTTACTTAAGTAAATGTTAGACTTTTTATAATTACTCCATAGATTCTTGAGACTTTATTTCTAAATCTTTTCTCTCTCCTGTTCAGCTGGGTAATTTTTATTGACTTATCCTTAAATTATCACTCTTCAGTAAAATGAATTCTGCTGCAGATTCAGTCAGTTAGGTGTCAACTTTGATTAACATCTGGTTAAATGAATTTCCATTCCCTTTTAGTTCTTCATATATTATTTGCTGACATGTTCTATCATTCAATTTATTTCAATATGTTTGCACTTGCTTCTTGCAATATTTTTATAATAGCTAGTCTTTCTCAGCTAATTCCAACACCTGTGTCAACTTGGTATTGGCATCCATTGACTGTCTTTTTGTGAGCTGAAATTTTGTTGGTTCTTTTATGCCCAGTAATTTTGGATTTTATCCAAAATATGTGGAACATATTGTTATGAAGCTTATGGAGAATCCTGGTATTTTTGTTTTAGCAGGCAATCAACTCGGTGGATCTGAACTCCAATTCTGGTTTCCAAGTTAGTTCTGCTTCTAAAGGACTTACAGGAGTAGTAAGGACTGTACCGTATCTGTGCTATCCAATGCCCAATCTGAGACTTGGACAGTGGGTTATCCTGTAGTTCTATTCTTAAAAGTGTTTGATATGCTATTTGGGATCAGATCTACTTATGCACATTATCTCCCCCACAGTTTTTTATTAAGGCCAGGTGTCCTTGTACAACTTCCTGGGGTTTCTTCTGAGCACCTCCCTCCATGATCTCTTTGTACTATTTCTCTTGGGGCATGTGGATGGTGGTAGTCTTATCTTGGGTCCTTTGTCAGTAAGCAGGACATTTATTTATCTGGACCGTCTATGTATTTCCTATGATTGCTTCTGTCCAGAATCAACTAGAATAAGGATAAAAGGAAGAAAAAAACCCAAAAAACAAAACAGAAAACAAAACCAAAAACACAGTGGGTTGCTCTTGAGACTGTAATTTCTCTTACTGGAAAGGCGGTCTTGTCTTGTCTCCCTTACATGCAGTGTCCATACACTGCTACAGTTGAAGAAAAGGAAAACAAACAAGGGAGGTTTTCCCCAGTCTTACCCCTTCTGTATTTCTTTAAACTGAAGTAGAGGTTGTCCAAGAGCAAGCACTCCCCATCCATGCCAATACTTCCTGCCTTATCTTTTGAGTTTAGATGGGAAGATGTTAGAGGGGGAAAAAGTTGAGCTCACTGCCTTTTTGGTGGTACTTCAGGCTCTGATCTTTTCCAATTTGCTTACTGTCTGAGGACTTCTCAGACAGGTATATCACACATGGTGTATGATAGTCAGAATGGACTGTTCTTACCATAGACCAGATTCATCTTAACTGGTATAAACCAAAATGTGGCTGCTGGACTGTAATTACAGATATTAGTGAAGGCAAGTGCAACACTCTGCCTGCATTCCAGGTTTCTCTAGGCTGTGTGGCTGTGGTTTCATGGAGGGCCTATCAATGATGACCTGAATTACATGCAGATCCCTTACCCTCCAGCATGACTAAGGGAGCACTGCTGCTCAAATTCTCATGTGCACACAAATTCAGGGAAGAGGGATCTTGCTAAAATGTGAATTCTAATTCAGAAGATCAAAGGTGGGACCTGACACCACATTTTCCTATCTTCCAGGTATTCTGATATCATTGGTCTGGTTGATTACAACCTTTGTGGCTCCTTCCCAATCATTGTACAAGATTAGCTTTGAAATTATGGTGGTCCATCTCAAATATGGCAATGTGAGATGAGGAAGAGGAGCTGCTTATACTAGAAAGGAATTTGAGTACATAGACAAGTGCTGCATCTGCCGTGGTAGTCTGGGAAGCAGGGCGACTGCCCTTCCCTCCTCCCTACTTGAAGGATATCCTGAGTTCCAAGGCCAGCCAGGGGCTCAGAGGGCTCAGAAATACTGCATGTAGGTAAAATGACCAAAGACTTTTAAAAGAAAAAAATTGCACACAAATTATGTGGTAAAAAAATGTAAATCATTCAACATACAAATGTTACCATAATGACTCTAGCATGATTATCTTTGCTACTCTTCCGAATCTTTTTTCATAAGCATGCTTTTATCCAATTCTAATTTAGGGTCCTAGTGATTTCTTCCATGTAGGACTGCATTTCTCAAGTTATCTTTGCTACTAACTTTTTTAAAACATAGAATGTATACTTTCTTTTTTCTTTAGTGCATTTTGGTTATACAAATAAATATATTTTATTTTGGTTGATACACACATACATATCACATACTTTGATCACTTTCACCCTCATCACCCTCTTGCGCTGACCTCTTCCCTAATTGCTATTAACTTTTTTAGTAGCCAAGAAATATTCCCACTTATGTGAAGTTTTAAAATTTACTTAATCTTCTATTGCAGGTACTGATACCATTTCTGACATGGGTATTCAGGGCCTGGGGATTTGGCTCAGCGGTAGAATGCTTGCCTAGAAAGCTGGAAGCCCTGGGTTTGGTCCTCAGCACCAAAAACAAAAAATAAACCTCCCCTAAAAATAAACCTAGGGCTGGGGAGATGGCTCAGTAGGATAAGCGCTTGACTGGCAAACGCAAGGATCTGAGTTCAATCCCCAGTTCTGCCAAAAAAAATAAAAAATAAAAAATAAAAATAAACCTCCTCTGATATGGGTATTCAAATGTGTAACCATAAATAATGTTGTCATTAATAATTGTCATGTGCTTTAGCACTGTGCTGGAAATTGGTAACTGTCACCATTTGCCTGTCCCATGGATATATGAAGATAACACTAGGAATAAATAACTTATTTCCTTGGTCAACTGTCATGAAACTTTGCTCAGGAATCTCATTATACCTGATTTTGATGATGAGATTTGGATCTTTCACATTAATAAAATAGAGATAAGATTTTCAACTGAGTTGACATAATAGTGGGCTAAATCCTGGGACTCCTGGGGAAGGAGATATATTTGTATTTGAGAGGAAAGAGGGTACAATGTGGTAGGTAGAATCTGGCCCTTTTCAAGATTCCATACCTACTAAGCCCTGAAACGCACGGAAGCAATGTGAAAGCACTCTGGTGACTGTTTCTGGTGATATGGCACAGCCAACCTCAAAAAAAGGGACAACCTGGAATCCGTAACAGTGAACTTCATCAGGCTAGCGGCAGAAGAGAAAGGCAAGAGAGCAGACTTGGACAAGAGGAAGTTTTGAAATGCCACTATTGGCTCTGAAGGTGGAAGACAGTACATGAGAAGAAATGTGAGCGGTCCTAAGGGAGACGAATGCCTCAGGAACAGGACAGACCCACCATCTACCTCCAACTTTCCCTCAATGCACTGTCCTCTCCAGCTGTACTCTGGGCTGGATAGCCAGTGTGAAGCCTGCAGCCCCCTCTCCCTTGACAGCTTCTAGACACATGGAACTGCACTTAGGAAAACAAAGCTCTTTATGTGCCAGGGCAGACACCCCAAATTCAGTTTGTATTTGGAGGTTTGCAGGTGGAAGGCGAGAGATGAGTTATAGGTCTGTGTCCTGCAGGAAGTGAGAGAGGTTGTTTCTGCTGCTTGGATCATCAAACCTGACTAGGCATAGGGTAATTTACTTCAGGTCTGAAAGTCTTCCTCAATTTGAACTACTGTCTAGATCTTCACCATATTCTCATGAGACCACAGGTGGAGCATTTCAAAGAGACTGAGGATTCCTGGACTCCAGCCTTGGTTCCACCTCCTCCTGAGCAGTTGGTGACACTAGACAGGTCATCTTATTCTGCTCTCAACCGTCCCAATCACTTTTTACTGTTTTCAACCTTATCAACAGGATGCAATATTTTCAAAGATTTTGTTAAATAGAATTGACAATTAGTTACATAATTTTCCCTATTTTTACTAACCAAAAGTATATAATTACAAATCAGAATAAAAAACAATGGCAATTAACATTTACTGAGTACTTATCATGTGCCCACTTTTGAGCCCCTCTCCAACCCTGGCAACCTCTCATTTAGCAACACACCAAGGGGCTTCCACTGGGATGTGTCATCTCAACTACACACTAAGGTTCCTGATCTTTATTCCTTCCTCCTTCAGAGCAGAATCTTCTAAAGTTGACATCCTAATCTGCAAAAGTCCTGGACAGCCAGGGTGTTCCACAGTTACTGGGAGTCACCCAGCCAGCAACTCTGTACTACTGTACACAGCCCAGAACTGGCCCTCAGAAAGGAGGCAGGCAACCTGAGATGCTGGGTAGACAGGGTAGCTGGCAGCAGAGAAGAACGCATTTATCCATTAATGTCTCCATCTTCTCTTGCCACACACCAAAAGTTTGGTGATTTTATTGAAGACACGGGGGAGGAACCAAGGGGCAGGATGTGGGAGGGATGTGGGGTTGCACAAGCACAGGCTGCCCAATGGGCTCTCTGTACTCACCAAGAAGGCTGCCGGCTGGTGTGTGGGTGGTGTGGAGGAATCCTGAGAGGGTCTACCTCTCTGGCGGTGGCCGGAGGGAATTCCTGATGGGGACTTCTTTCACCAGCCTTGTCCCACTGTTCATGGAGAGGTGTGATGATTCCAGATACGATGCGAGACCGAAGCTCTTCACTATTCTTGTAGGTTCTACAGGAGGAAGATGGGGAATCAACTGTTTGCTGTTGGCTGTCAACTTTAGATACAGTATTCTGGCGGCGGCGACCTGGGCGGCGGCCCTGACGGTTCTCAGCCTGTGTTTGGCCTGTCTGCAAGGGTGGGAACAGGCCATCCAGTGGTGGACCGAGGTGAGGGGGGACAACAGCCCGGCGCTGTCTCCTCAGTTTGGGCCTGAGCTTCTTAGGCATCTGAATTACCCCTCCTTATTTACCACCCCATTAGAAACAGGTAAGGGTGTAGGGGCACAGGGCTGGACTAGCGGTTCCTCTGTTCCCAATGCTCTCTCAGCTCCATTGTGTGGTCATCACGTGTCATGGGAAGGGTCATAAAAAGCAAAGCCTCCATGGGAAGGATGAACAAGGCTCCTGGTCAGGGTAGGCAGGGCTCTGGTGCTCAAATTCAGTTCTATCAATAATCCAGGATTCTTCAAAGAATGCCCCTTACTATCTGTCCCATCCTACCAGGACTTCTTTCCCCTGCTGGTGAGAGACAAATAATATGAGGTATAACTGTAGCAACAGGGAGTGGGCAGGTCTCTAGGGCTCCTAAAAACCTGATAAATGAGTCATGTCCTGGGTCACAAAGCAAACTTCACAAGTAAAATCATACAGAATGTTTCCTGACCACATAGAGTCACACTAGAATCAAAACAGTCTTTGATTGAAATTAACACACTTCTAGATAATCCAAGAACCAAAGGGGAAGTCCTGAAAAAATAAATGCACAGTACTAAACTCAAAATTCACTTATTAGAGTATGTAGAATACAGCTAAGCCATTGTCCAGAAGAAAGTTTACAGCACAGAATGCTTATATTAGAAAAGAACATCTCAAATGAATCATCAGAATTCTGACTTCAAGAACCTAGAAAAAGGGCCAGGGAGATAGCTCAGCAGCTTAAGCACATGCCTGGCAAGCAAAAGGTCCCAAGTCTGATTCTCAGTACCAAAAAAAAAAAAAAAAAAAAAAGAACGAAGAAAAAGAAGAGTCAATCAAACCAAGTAGAAGTATGGAAATAAGAACAGAGATCAACAATTTTGAAAAAACAAAACAGAGAAAAATAAGGAAACAAAAAACACTTTAAAAATGGATAAAATCGACAAATTTCTACTAAGACTGACAAATGTGAAAAGAAAAAAGACAAGATTTGTAAGCACATATGAGACAGTGAAGCACAATTTAGCTCTAAAGCCTTCACAAGTAGCTCGTTGGGCAGTGCCTCCCTCAGGAATGTGGACTTGAGCTTTTCTAACCAGGTCCTGTGCTTTTCTCATGGATAAGGGAGATACTTCAGGTGGTTCACTCATGGGAAATCTCCTCTTACCAGGGGAATACTGGGTTCCAACACTGATAAAACTAACATGGGATTATAAACACACTTCCCAGCATCCTAACATCGCTTCTGGGTCTCTACTTGCTTGACATCACAAATTGTATAAAAGGGGCCCTCTCCTTGGTTCAAAACCCAGCCTAGTTTTGAGTATCTAGTGGCTAGGATGGTGCACTATTAAAGTTCTCCTGAAATAATTCCTCTGGGTCTCCTCACTCTCTTGGAAATTCTACAATAGTAAGAGAATGCTAAGAATTACTTCATTCAACAACTAATTCTTTTAAAACCATAAGCTACAACATATAATCTGAATAGTTCTAAAATCCTTAGTAAAACACTAATAAATTGAATTAAAATGTATAAACAATTTGTATTTATGTACAAAATATATAAACAAAAATGTATAAACAACAAAAAATTGTATAAACAAAGTTGGGCACTGTGGTGGTACATGCCTATATTCCCAATACTCAGAAGGCTGAGGCAGAAGAGTACCCTCGAGTTCAAGGCCACAGTAAGTTCAAGCCAGCATGAACTATACAGTGAGACTTTGTCTCAAAAAGCCAACCAAACAACTATTATAAGCACATAGGATTTACTCTAGGTATCCAAGACTGTTCTAATACTTACAAATCAATATAATCTACATGAATAAAGGAAAAAAAGATTGTATCAATACAGAAAAATGCTGAACAAAATCCAACATAACTATGATTTTAAAAACTACCAAAAGGGAAATGAAAAAGAAAGATTTATATGATCTGAACAGAAACCAGAGTTATTACATAGAGGGAAGTAAGAATTGATAATTTCCTCAGCTTAATAATAAAGAGAGGGGCTGGTGAGATGGCTCAGTGGTCTAAAGCGCCTACTTAGAACAAGCTAAACAAAGCACAGGGAACGCGGTTCAATCCCCCAGCACCACATGCCAGCCGCCCCGCCCCCTGGTGGGCTGAGCTGGCCACACACACAAAATTAAAAAAAAAAAAAAAAAAAAAAAGTTTAAAAAAAAAAGTTAAAAAAAAATAATAAAGAGAATCTACTGTTAAAAAAATATATTTAATGGTGAAGACTGAACTCTTTGTCTTCAATAACTGAGAATAAAGGCAAGTCTTTTGTCATACTTATTTAGTATAATACAGGAACTTAGAGGCAGTGCAGTAAGGCAAAAAAACCAAGAAGAATAGGTATCAGAAAATAAGGAACAAAATTGTCTCTCCTTGGCTATGACATAATAATCTATCTTGACATTCTTGAGGACATCTACCAAAACTCACTAGTTATTATATGCAAATGAAAATTAAAACCATATCACTGTACATCTAACAGAATGATAATAAAAATTTATATATAACAGTAATATAAGATAAAGAGAAACTGAACCACACATATACTAGTGGCAGGTATAATATGGTAAAAAGAGATAGAAAACATTTTACATTTTCTTTTTATTCCTTTGAGACAGGGTCTGGTTATGTAGTTCAGGTTGGCTTTGAGCTCATTTTGTAGCCCAGGTTGTCTTGAACTCGCAATGAACCTCTTGCGTTAGCCTGCTAAGTGCTGGGATTACAGGTGTGCACCACCACAACTGACCATTTTCCTTTCTCATAAAACTAAACATGATATTGCCATTGTACTCTGGGTAAATGAATATTAAGAGCACACAAAAATAGTACACAAATGTTCATAATGTTTATTTGTAGGAGTCAAAAACTGGAAATAACTCAAATGTTCTTCAACTAGTAAATGGTTAAACAGAGGGCTATACATACCATGGAAATACTACAAGCAATACGAGATACAAACCATTAACATACACAACTCAGATGGACATTGTAATGTTATATTGCAGCTTGTACAATGTGACCACAATAAGGGTCTATTCTAGTTTGTATCTGGATGTTCCCTCAAAGCCTCATGTGGGCATGAGGGAGACTTTGAGAGGGTGGCTGAATCTAGAGTGCACAACTGGTTCATAATTAGGTGCTGGGAGTGTGAGTGCTACGCCCACCCTAAAAAGAGGCTTGCTCTTGCTCTCTTCTGCCACCCCAGCTGCCATGAACTACTGCGCCTTTTCCATGTGCCACCCTGCCTTAGAGCCAGTGATTATGAATGGAAACTGCCACAAACTGTGAGCTAAATAAACCCTTCCTTCCTTAACTTTGAGTATTGGACATTTTATCTCAGCAATGAAACAAAAGTAACTATTATTTCTTAGAATTGCCTATTAAGTCTATAATTACAGGATCTCAAAATAAAAGGTTAAATTTGAATATACTTTTATGTATCGCCATAAAATAGACTGGGACTCAAGGAGGACAAGTGGAGAAGCAAGGTGGATAAGGCAGGGACTTCAACTCGTGCCCCTCCCATTCCCACCAGAGCAACTCCACTCTCCCCAGGATAATATGTCAATCCTGAAGAATGCTATGCAGGAAGAAAGAATCCCACAAGGGAGAAGCACAACTGACTTCAATGGCTTAGAGGTCCTATTACCTTTGGCCCCTATAAACCCTGCACAGATGCTCCCATCTCGCACACAGAGCCTGTGGGACTCTGTTGCTTCCCTGCCCAAGCTGGGTAGAGAAAATTCCAACTCCCATTCCCTTTCAGAGGAGCTGGGAGTGACACAGGCAGGAGACCTCTAAGACCACCCATGTAGACGTTTACTTGTAGAACTCAGTGCTGGCTCAAGAACTGCCAAGTCCTGCACCAGAAGTTCTTACATAATTCCTAAGCCTTGGTAGAACAGCTATAATTTTGGTGTGGTAAAAGCCTCTCATCCTGTCTGACACAGAAAGGACATGGGAAGAAGGAGCAAAGCAGGTTTAAACTCCTTACCAAATCCAATATGCCTAAACATGGGTTCAAATTCTTACGTAAAAGAAGGGAGACACACAAGGAGGGCTTGAGAGACCAAGGTGGCTACAGGCAGGCAGTACAGTGCTATCACCATGGAGCAGAGGAGGCAATCCACAGCCCAGCTCCTAGAGCCTCAGTTTCCATGAAGATAGCTTCTGCCAATGAGTTTTTTCCTTTGTGTATTACTAAGAGCTGGGCCCAGTGCTAAACAGGCTATGTGCTGACACCCCATTCAGTTCCCAGAACAACACCCTGTCACTCTGTGGTGGTACATTTTTGTCCCTCACTTCATGGTAATCAAAACAAAAAACAAAATATCCAACCTCATACATATGCAAATCCCAATAACAAATGGATTTAAAAAAAAAGAAGACACTATCACAGTCCTCTTTCAGCATTGCTGGGGGCACTAAATGCTCTAATGAGCATGAACCGCTTAGGAAATGCCTGGGTTCATCCACAAGTTGTGTCAATTTCTCTCCCAGTAGAATTCCAGGACATATCAAAGACCACACCCCAAGCTCCTTTCCTTATCCCAATCACAGTGTGAAACACCCAGAAGACTAGCACTCTCTGTAAAGCCAGGTCTGACCTCATTGCCCATCCTCCTTCCTTTATCTACACACAAGTGCATCCAACCTACCACCTGTAGGCTTCTGTGATTCTGTCTGTATATTGTAAAAAAAAAAAAAATTTTTAAAGAGGAAGTTTTGCTATATGTAATTATATATTATATATTGTATACATGGCACAAGACAATTCCTTTTCAATCACTGTGG